CTTGAATCACTGATGCACAAGGCTGCATTGAGAAGAGTGCTTCGGATGCTAGAGGTGCATGTCCGCTCAAGCTGGACTTCTTGTTGCTCTGACTGCAAGTGTCAGGAGTGAAGCAAGTTTGAACATAGTCGATCGAAGCAAACGCCGTCAAAAACTCTCTCTTAATTGTGTGTAAGATCAAAGGTTGGTGCAAGGGGGCGTCTCATGACTCTCTGAATAACATTTCATTTATCATAGGGGCGGCTCATGACCCTTTTGCTACTATACAATCCATCCATACTTGATATTATCACACTTACACTAAAGATTGATCTTTTTGCTACTTTACAATCCATCCATACTTGATATTATCACACTTACACTAAAGATTTTGGAAAAAAATAGTGGCATTATCGAGGGTGATAGTAATAATAACTAGGGAGTTTTACACTAGGAAAATTGGTTTCAAACTTTTAGGTGACAATATAGATGTATTCTATTCACAAGTGTGACATTATCGAAGTTAGGGTGTAAATGATTTGAAAGCTTCTTGTGATGATATTGCTTGGAACACATCTAAACAAATCTTCACAATGACATGATTTTCTAGTTGCTTCAACAGAAAAGTTTGAATATACATGATTACCTTGCTCATTATTTGTTCTTGCATATCCTTTCAATCTTCTGCATAGATCTTTTTGATCTTAGATTTTATTATCTTTCCTAATCCAGATGCATTCAATGCAACTTTAACTTATCTTTCCACAAAACATAATCGCTTTGTTTAACTAATAAAATCTTAAAATGATCATTATTATGTAAAATGTAATGAGTTCTTGTTTATGTATTCTATATCTTTGTTGTACAAGTTATGAATTGCTCATCCAAAATTTATCTAGCCAGGATACATCATGAATTCAAGAAGTGTCAGCATAATGATGACATTTTTTTATTCTTTCTGCAATTTTTGCTAAATAATTTGGTAAAAATTAAAATCTCTGACCTGCAATAAGTTTACATTTTTTAAGGATTTATTTCTAAAAAAATCAAGCATTTCAACAAGAAATTATTGCATGAACTTGTATATTTGTAGTCAAATTCTTGGTTCCAAATTCTTTTAAATGATCAGCCACATAGTTTCAAGTTCAATTTTGATGACCTGCTATCATATAGATATTATATGAAAGTACCATTTAAAATATATTTCTATTACAGTCACATGAAAGACCCAAACATCCAAATCGAACAGCAAGCACGACAGTCACAACATCGAGATAACATGGTTCACCTTCCTCAGGCTAGGTCCATAGGCAAGAGCAGAAACTTCATTAAAGCTTTGATGTATACACGGCCTCGATAGCCAAATGCTACTCCTTACTATTCCCTCTCTCGGTGCTATTCTCAACTGTACAAAGAGAGAGTCTCATTCTCTCTTCTATACAAGAAGAGATAAGTAAATCTAATCTAACCTAACCTAATCACAGTTAATTTTCTAATCATGGTTACCACTAACTGAAATTAATCCAAAATAGAATTAACCTAACAAATCACAGTCATAATTATACATAGATTATTTGAAATTAGATTTGATCACAGATTTACGTTATATTGTGGTTAATTCATTTTGGGTATTTTGTCAATTTTATCTTTAAATTATGACATATGAAAATAAAGAATTTTGTGAATTGAAATTTTGAATACTTTTCTTTTGTACACTTTTCAGTTATGTGTATTTTTCACTTTTCACAACTATATTGTCCGCGTCACTAATTTGTTCAATATGTTGAAAAGATGGTCAACAAGTTCTGAGGCGTCTTCGACAATGTCACAATTTTTCGAACAGCTGGAGACAGAGTCGAAGACTGACAAATTCAGCATGATTTATTCTGCTCTTCGATGGAAGTGAACCTTGAGGCCGAACAAATGTGCATCAGTGGTGTTAATATGTCAATGACTGGTCTCTTAAAGGAAACTGCTGATGAGGGTAATATATTACAGTACTGAAACACTTCCAGTTGCGTTATGTCATGCGTTAGAGTTACGGAAGAAGTGAAAACGTACAACGACAACTGTCAAATGCAGATGTGACTGTGAAAGATCTGACCAGATTGTGTCTGCTGGAGTGAACTCCCAGATTGTTGTTTTGAGCAATGAGCTCCAAAAAAACTTATGACTATGATGAATCTAGAGCCAAAATGATCGGGCTCATATTTCATCTTCTAGGTCCTGTTTTAGTCAAAGGGGAGAAAAAAGATGCAATAAGGCCTCTTTGTCTCACCTACTTGTGTTGAACACCAAAGAAGACACTCAAGCATCCGGAGAGGCTTTAGCAAAGCATAAACAAGATGCTTGTGAAAGAGCAAGCTCCTGGCCAATATTATAACACACACACACACACATTTCAAAGAAACCCGAAACATATATATTCTCAATTTCGGTGATCACACACAGCCAAAGACGTAAATTTGCTACAAATTATGTATCCTTATGATACAGACCGAATCTTCTCAATTTTTGATAGGTTTTAGCTTACGTGATCGGTTTGAGTGATGTGAATGTATGAGGACAGCTTGAAAGTGTATATTTTGGTAAAAAGTAAGGTCGCATGAATAATTCTAGTCTGTCGGTAGGCTTGCGTTGTATTTCCAATCGGTGCGTCTTTGGTTTCGGTTGCTTGGGTTCCACATCACTTCACTAGTATGTTGTGGGTCTGTTCGCATTTGAAAGGGGTCTCGAGCTTTACAGATTTCCCAAGCTGGAAATCTCCGAACGTATTGACAAATGGATGAATTCGATGAGAACTGGTGGCAACCGAAAAGGCAAGAACGTGGAGATGCTGGGAAAGAAACACACAGGAAAGAAGAGCCGGGGAGAACATGATATAGGCATAAAATACTCTTCAAATTTCAAGCTGGGCATGTGTAACACCTCGACCTGAAAATCCCAATGAACACGGCAGCCTCGGAGCGAAGAAAAGGTGAACACGGAAATGAAATAAATATTGCAGGGAACCTAAATTGGGAAGGCAGCCAGCACAGATTCTATCCTGTAGGTGTAAGCACCTTGAGCAAGCTGCTCAAATATGGCTTCCAATTGTAACGTACCGATCAGATATGAGACCAAGGCGGAGGAACTCTTCTGTGAACCGATGTGTGGATATTTGGTCTGGTTGGGTTTGGTTGGTTGTTGCTGATTCCGTTGCGTGTTCTCGCATTACCAACCAGAGAACGAATAGTCAAAGAAAGTTGTCAACTCAATTCTTAGAGGAATGTGCAACACCAACAAAACAAGTGCATCAGATGCAGATGATTTGGCCTCCTTCGCTTTTAGCTTCTTCCTCCGGGCGCAGACACACAGACAGAAGCAAGAGCAGCAGAGCCATTGTCGACTTGGACGCTTCCCTGCCCGACTGTGCAATGAAGTGCAGTCAGCCTGAAACCTCGGACGTGGTAGCTCGCTCCGTCGTCTTTGACCGGGCCGGCGGCGTCTCCCCCCAAGCTCGACGACGGAGAGTCCCGGTCCGCGTCTCTCGCATAAATAAAACATGTTGCTCATGGTTCTGGGATCGAGGGTCCGGACCGACCGTGGCTGCTTAGCGAGAAACTACCCTCCTCGTGCAAGAGCAGACAGGGGCGAAAGTGGTTGGGACCGAACTTCCTTGCCGAACATCCGAGGGTCCGCCACAACATTCAACGGACACACGCACAGTCGGAAGCCAGGACACGGAAGTGGACCGGGTCTCTTGTTCAGCTGATTTGGATTCACTTCTCTCTCTCTCTCTCTTACTAAGGTCACCCTAAACCTTTGTGGTCAACCTGAAAGCACTGCACCGCGACTGCGACTGCCGTACAGTCTGCCGGGGCACCATATTGGTCCATTGGGCGCTCCCACGGCGTACGAGAAAGATAACGGGCGGCCCCACCACCACCGAGCCTCTGGGAGCGTCTTCCATTCCTTCAAGTTTTCGACGTGGTTTCGGACTTTCGTCCGTCGCTTCGACGGAGACTAACCACGTTCACCCCCGATGTCCAATACAAAGCACCGTTTGAGCGCCGAGAAATGTCATCTTCAGCCCTCTCAGGATTAAATTATGATAATTATACGAAAAAAGGGAATTTTTTATATACGGAGATTTTTCGATGGTTCAAAAACGAAGCATAATTTCTGAATTCGTGATGGGCGTGAAGACTAACGAGGATTTTCTCAGAAAGGGCTCATGATTAGGTGAAAGTCTTGGAATTGCGGAAGGAATGAGCTCTACACATGCCGATTGCCGAGTTGACGCTTAGACGCTCACACGACTTGACATGCAACAAATAAAAGTGGAGCGATGATGAACACCTGATTTTCTGAAGCGTTAGAAGTGAAGGCAGGAAGGGGAAGGATGGAAATGGAGGGGAGGGGAGGGGAGGCGAGGCGAGGCGAGGCGAGGGGAGGGCGACGTGGTTGAGGGGTGGGGGAAAGGTCCAACGAGAGCCACTGCAGTGCAGTCCGAGGCCCGAAGGAGAGTTGTTGGACGCTTGTGGTGGAAACGGGGTCAGAGGAAAACGCCGATCATCGCATCTCGCGCTGGCACCGGAGGCGTAATGGCCGTCGGATCGCCGGGAGACTCGACCCTGAACCTGAACCCGACTGTCGGAAAAGCTTCGGGTCTGCGTCTGTACCGGTTGGAAAAGTAGGGGAGCATCTCTCAGGGTCTCATACTCGCCTGTCTGAAAGTTTCGGGCGGGCGTTCGTGTCTACAGGTCGGGAAAAGTCGGACGTGGCACCGGGTCCGGCCGTATTCACACGTGGACGGAGCGGGCCGCGAGCGTCGTCGCGGAGCCACACGCTGGCGGCACTGCGTTTGTCCGGACCCAGATGTCGCAGCGCCGCGACGGGCGAGTCCGCCAGAATAGACACGGTAGGTGCGGTTCAGTCGAGCCGACGAGGACGAGCGCAGCGCAGCGCAACGCGAAGCGCTGAAGGAATTCCAGAATGGAGCAGCAGCAGCGCGGAGCTCAGTTCAGCAGTTCAGCAGTCCAGTCCAGTCCAGTCCAGTTCAGTGGAGTGGCGCTACTGTGCTGAGGACTCGTGCACTGCACTGCACTGCACTGCGAGGGCGAGCATGATTGATGCCATGTCCTCCTTATCCAGGACTCGTGCGCGGCTATAGAAGGGGAATGGGATGCGGGGTCTCTCAAGGCACGGCGAGGCGAGGGAGCGGAGAAGCGGAGACGCAGCACGAAAGCAGCCTGCGCGCTCGGGCCTCGCCGCTTCATGCCGGCGTGCACTACTGACGGGCTTATATCATGGGCGGTGCATGAGCTGATTCAGAGGTCGAGGAGTGCGGTGTGAGGCGAGGTGGCGAATGTGTACGCGGGGGCGCGCGAAATCTGTAGCGTTTAGAATACTTTAGTGCGGGCATTTGATTAGTGTGCCGTAGTGTGTGTGATGGTCGGTCGTCGGCCTCGGCCTCGGCGTGTGCGTAGCTGGAACAGCTTGTGGATGATCGCTTTTAGCAGCGAGGATTGAAGTCGGTCGTCGCAGCGATTGAATCGATCGATCGCTCGCTCGCTCGCTCAGTCGGGGAGCTCCAGGTCCGTCCTCCTGCGCTCCCGCCCTCAGCCCGATTCGAAATGGCGCAGTGAAATCTCTCTTGCATCTGCTCCAGCTGCCTGCCGTCGAGTCTTCTCGTTGCTGTGACGGAGGTGATCGAGTTTCTGCTGCCGGACCAGAGCCCCTGACTGACGGAGTGACTGACTGGCCCCGACACGAGCTTCGAGCTTCGAGCTTCGAAGTCGTCCGTCGGCAGAGCGACCGACCGAAAGAAAGAAAAGATTGCCATAGACGTAGAGATAGATTGACAGATAGATCGATAGAGCGAGATGGCTTGTGCTGCTGCCTCAGCCGGTTGCCTTGTGCATGCTGATCCCTCATTACGACGGGGTGCGGATGGTATTGGTGTGCATAAGCTTAAGAGTGAGCGCGAGAATCAACCTTCCTCCCTAGCGGCGCTGGGCCGTCACTCCCATTGGAGTGCACCGGGATTCGAACGCCTAAGCGCATCGCCGTCGCTGGCTGCGTCGGGGCACAGACTGGAGCAGATTCGTCATTCCGGGCCCAATCCTCAGAGCTCGCTCGTGCGCAAGAAAATGAATGCCCTAAGTTCATTACTCACCATTCCCTCTGCATCCATGTTCACAAAGACCCGGTGCTGCTCCTCCTTTTCTCCGCTTAAATGTCACTACCAATCTGCTGACAACACTGCGTCGAAAATGTCAACGAACCAAAAACTCCAAAAGCTTCAACACAAACGCAGGATGTTGCGTCCCATCGACCAAAGCCGGAATATGACTTGTCAAGCTCAGGCAGCATCATCTGATTTGGGAATGCCCAGTACGGGTCTTGATTTGACGAGAAGCCCTTTCATCACATTATTGAATACAGAGAGAGTCAAGGTTGCTTTGATGGTGGCCTTCGCCATGGCTCTCTGTAACGCCGATCGAGTGGTGATGTCTGTTGCAATTATGCCCCTCTCCACTACGTACAACTGGAGCACAAGTTTCGCCGGAATCATTCAGGTTCGTTCGTTCGTCCATTCATTTATTCATTCATTCATTCATTCGTCCGATTCAACGAGCTCTACCTTCCGTTTGTTTGTTGGTGTGTCTGTCGATCAGTTTCTCGCTTCGTCCTCGCCAGCCTCTGAATGCTAACCCATTGTCGGCCGGTGGTTCGTTGCGCAGTCATCATTCTTGTGGGGCTACATGGTGTCGCCAATTCCTGGAGGCATGTTGGCTGATCGATACGGAGGCAAGGTGGTCATGGGCTGGGGAGTGATCGTGTGGTCACTGGCCACCATGTTCACTCCTTGGGCTGCAAGTCACTCGATGGGAATGCTGCTGGCCATGCGAGCTCTCATGGGCCTTGCAGAAGGAGTAGCAATGCCCTGCATGAACAACATGGTTTGCAAGTAAGGCCGTCTCGTTCTCTGCCGTGACTTTCTCGCTCTCGCGTCATCGAGCTCAAATTCTGGACTCAAATTCGTTGCTCATGGGTTTGTGTGTGACAGATGGTTTCCCGGAACAGAACGAGCCAGGGCGGTGGGGCTGACGATGGCGGGCTTCCACCTGGGAAGTGTCGGAGGCTTGATTCTGACACCCGTGCTCATGAAGAACTACGGACTGTCGGGCCCCTTCTGGGTGTTCGGGCTCTTGGGGGTCGTGTGGTTGAGCCTTTGGGCCCCGTCCGTGTACAAGGACCCGCAAAGCAACCCTTCCATAAGCAGCAGCGAGTACGCGCACATTGAGCAAGGGAGTGAAGGTCTGGGCTCTTCGAGCAAAGAAGCTGGCAAGGGCGGACTGCCTCCTTTCCGTCAAATTTTCTCTAAAATGCCCACATGGGCCATTATCGTGGCAAATGCCATGAACAATTGGGTGAGCAGTCCTCGCATACGTTTCTGCTCCTGGCGCATGTCTTCTCCTTTAGTGGCTTTCCATCGTGCAATTCTTGACCCATCACGCCTGGAATCCATGCAGGGATACTTCATCCTTTTATCTTGGATGCCAGTGTACTTCAACACGGTAAGTATCTTGCTCGGCACGAGAATTCCCTAGCAGTACCAAAATTTGGTGAAGATTTTTAACAAGGGAAGGAAAAGAAGTGAAATTTTTTTGAATTTGTGAAATTGCCGAGTGGGACTGGACTTCACTGGACTTCACTGGACTGAGGGGCGAGCGGTGTTGCTACGCAGGTGCTCGGTGTCAACTTGAAGGAGGCAGCGTGGTTCAGTGCCGCTCCGTGGGCGATGATGGGACTAGCTGGGTTCTTCGCCGGTGCTTGCTCAGATCGCCTTATCCAGATGGGGGTCAGCATCACGAATGTTCGAAAAATCATGCAGGTAATTGAGCGAGCGAGCGAGCGAGAGAGAGGGCCTTTCCGTTGAGTTCGAAGTCAAGTCGCATCGCATCGCAGTACAGAGAGCGGAATGTCAAAGTCGGGCTCCTCTGGTTGAGCACGTGCTCAGCGGAACATGCTCAAATGTCGTTGCAAGCATGCGAACCTTTCATGCCTTGGCCGCTTGACGTGTGCGTGTGTGCGTGTGGCAGTCTATCGGATTTGTGGGCCCGGCCGTGGCCTTGTTGTGCCTCAATACAGTGCGAGATCCAGCTGTAGCGTCCGCTTGGCTAACGGCCGCGCTTGGTCTCAGCGCCTTCAGCCAGGCTGGGTTCCTCGTCAACCACCAGGTACCCAACCCCAGCCTTTGGCTCAACTCTCGCCAGCGCTGTTCGCATGCCCAATTTCAGTGTCCATTATCGCAATTAGAATAATTATTGTTCGGGCAGGGCCGCTAATTCTCCATTCTTTTGCATGTGGCAGGAAATTGGACCTCGGTACGCCGGATTCCTTCACGGTAGGTCGCCTTTGCCGACGATCCGAGTCATGCAATTGTGTTTGGCGTGAATTGCAGGCTGACATTAGCCGAGAGTAGAAGTGAAGCAAGCTGACTCGGGACCATGCGTGTGTGTGTATTGCAGGAGTTTCCAACACCGCTGGGACTTTTGCCGCTATCATCAGCACGGTTGGGACGGGGTACTTCATCGAGCGCCTCGGTTCGATCCAAGCCTTTTTGACAGTGACAGCAGTTCTCTACGTAATCAGCACCGTCTTCTGGAACATGTTCGCGTCCGGGGAACGAATTTTTCACTAAAGCTTCCCCTTCAGATCATTAATATTTTCCGCTCATTCTTGCCATAAGCATCAACATCATCACCATTCTATCTGTGAACATAGCATAGCATAGCATAGCATAGCATAGACCGTCACACTTCCATTGTCACAGCGATCTCTCACATATGTACATAATCTGTCACATCGATATAAAGGATCAGCAACTCTATTCTACGCGGTCTCGAGCTCTGGATGGATGGATATTTGAATGTCAGTCAGTCATCGAAGTCTCGGACTCACGCCACACCAAACACACAACTCCAGACCCAGAATTTCATCCCTTGGGCACTTTGGCAACCACTTTTGCGGACGATAAGTTAACTGATTAACCAAATGAGAGAAACATTAGAATCCTGAACATTTACGGTTGGAAACGCCATGCCTGCAAGAGCAAGAGTTGAGTGGACAAACTTTCGGACGAGCCTCGAAAGAGTACAGTACTTGAGTTTGAGAAAGTTTCCGGGGAACCCATCGAAATGTCCCTCCAGCGAATTGACATTTCTCAGAGTGTCGTACGCAGGTCGAGGAGGGACAGGAGGATAGGGTCAAACTCACGTCATAAATGGAGTCTGGGTGGACTCGAAGAGACGCGAAGTTCAAAACAGGCTGCCATTACCCACTCTGTGGAATCGAGCTGGGCCGATGCGTCGAAGTCCCGAGAGGATCGCGCAGAACACTGACGCTGTAGTGAGTGAGTGAGTGAGTTCAGCATGGCAGTCAGTGAGAGCAGGACGGGCAAGAGGGAGAGGAGTGGGTCAAAACGAGCTCACGGTGTGTTGAATGGTAGATGATATTCTGTGCAGATCTACAGCGGGGCATATCCGAATCCTGTCGTAGCTCTCAATGCCGCAGCTACAGAATGTACAACGCGATTGCCAGTCCAGTATAGGCCTAGTGCTGCATACATGACAATTATGTGCGATTATTATATTGGTCGGCAATCTCGCTGGAGGATACATTATTAAAGTGCCACCTGACACGACATGACATGACTAACGAAGCAGAAGCAGGTACGGTAAGGTGCGGTATTTGGATTTGGCTACGATAATGGTAGCGAGCACTTTCCAAGTCAGTAGGGCTACACATTTATGGAAGCAAATGGTTCTGGCGCCGGTGATTGGCTAAAAGGGTTTCCACTTGCCAATTTCTCTTCATCTTTCAATCATGTACCTTATACGGGTGACACTTTCCGCTTCAAATTATAAGCCATCAAAGCAAAGTTTTCTTGAAGTTCGCATCGACTCGACAGAATGAGTGAGTCGTTGCTGCTGGTGGTCTAGAAGCTAAACGACCTGATCAGCTTTCTAAGCCAAGTCAGTTGCCATGCATAAGAGCGGCATTCTAAGAGGAGATTCGGCTGGGCTAAGAGTATGGCTTGGAGAGCTGTTTTCCTCCGAGAGCTTGTAGGCCATTGCCATTGGTTCTATATTAACTTCAAGCAAGCTAAACTTGTTTGGAGGCTACCGCACTCCGATCTAGAAAGTAGTCCCGATATACGTGGGAGCAACCTACAGTGGGAGAATGATGCAGGGTACATATTCAGAGACCACACGACATGGCGGTGGATGAAACGAATCTAAGGTTGGATATGAATACCGTTGAGGGTGGAGGCTTATGTTTTACGAATGGTCAAGTGCAAGGATGGGGAATCATATCAGAACGTGTATCACTAAAAAGAGAGTGATTGGCTCAAGCACTTGCTGGAGTGAAGACATAACTTTGATTGGCAAACATGCCTACGATATCGTAAAAGTGACCAAAAATCTACGGTATCTGTTGAGTATCCCAACAAAGTTTTGCAAGCCTTAGACTGATACAAGCATACGATGCTCCACTCGAGAATCGTGTACAATCAACATTAGTGTTGATTATTGAAGGAAGACTCGACTCAACTCCCACACTTCGCCTCAGATTTACGTTCTAGAAAACAACCTTCTCTAGAACTTCGTTGGTGCCCTTAAAACCAAGTAGAAGAGAAGAGAAGAGAATGATGTCGTCTCTGCCACCACCTTTCAAGGACCAGCCTAATCAGGAATCCCGAGTCACACTTCGATAGTGGAGCCGTCCATGGACCAGCGTTGAAGATGGGAAGAGTTTTGAAAGGAGGTGGAAGTGTAGGGACTTTGTTCTGCAGATCTACAGAGATCGAGCCACTGAAAAGAATTTCAAATTCTGCTGTACCGAGTTTAATTAATCAGTCGTTCAGTCTTAGGGCCGAAACCTCGAGAATCAAATGATGGCGAAGAGGAAGAGAGACGAGGACGAGGACGAAGCCGTCGCTCGCTCTGCGAGAGACTCTACTCGGGGGTACTGTTGCGGCATGCCTCTTCGTATCGCGCACTGCCCGCACTGCCCGCACTGCCCGAGGACCCAGAACCCAGGTCACCCAGCCAGCGGCTCCTCCAAAGGACGCACAGGTCGGTCAGTACGTGCGCTGTATTCTCCTGTATTGTCCTGGCGACGACATCACGATCGGGCACGGGCAAGCTGTGCTCGCTCCCGCTCCTTCAACTGCAACTGCGTAAAAGCGCAGTACGCGGTCGGTCGGCGAATATGTTGCGCTCGCCCCACCAGCGAGCGGAGCGCTTTCCGCGATTATTCAGCACCTCACCCGCAGTTCAAAATGGCCCCGCAGCCCTACCCCTACTCCAGAAGCCCTGTCCTGTTCGGTTTGGTTCGGTTCGGATGGGTTCGTCCGCGGAATCATCCATCCATGCATGCCCGCCCGTCAGACTATTTCGTGATTCGCTCGCCACGTCAGCCATCCGGAAGGCCTAACTGTCTCGTGCTCGCTCTCTCGAGGTCAATGCTCGATCAGCATCTGTTGCCGAGCCGTCGGGCGCGACGGACCTGCATCCCATGGTGTCTCTCTGGCCACCACCGACCCGATGGCCACGGTCGCGACGTGACGCGGCCCCGGTTTTAGCGACCTCCAGCTTTGTCGATTGAGAAACGAGCCAAGTGTTAGCGGCGGGACCGAGAGCGTCAACAGCCTTGGAAGCAATTCGCATCGACCATCATCGATCGGTGACGCAATGCTCGTGCTGCTCTGCTGCCCACTCTGTCTGGCAGTGCGACGATCAGCTCAACTTCCTACCATATATCGGGAATGATGCGGGGCGGATGCGACCGGAATGGATTCTTTGGATGCATTCCGCTTCTCCCGTGGACTGCATCGGTTCGGTCCTTTCCCCTTTTGAGTCGGTCTGTCTGTCTGTCTGTCGCGACTGACTGACTCACTGTGCTCGAAAGCAAAGGCTGAGCTGAGCTGCTCACGGGTGCCAGAGAGCGAGCGAGCGAGCGAGCGAGTTCGGGGGAGGCGGGGCTCGAGCTCTCCTCAGCGCCCACAGCTAAGTGACAGAGCTATGGTGGAACATTTGGCTCAAACGGACGGTCTTCTTGCATATAGCTCTCTTTCGTCGCTCGTCCTAGGACACAAAGCAGCTTGCGACTCGTAGACTCGTCACTCGGCATCACCCTAATTGCCCTTCCGTTCGTTCTAAAGTCCAAGGCCGGACCATGACGACCATTTATAAACTGATTGTGTAAAGTCTAAAGTCTGCAACCGGCTTTTGCAACATGGTCACCTCATCATTGAATCCCCGCGACCGAACTTCCTTCTGTAGCTAGCAGCGCGATGCCAGATCCGACTCCCGGCAGCTGGAATTCTCGTTCATGCATGTGCAGCTCATGTCAAGTCGATTCCATGGCAGGACTTCCACTTACCAGACTCCAGACAGTAATACTTCACGAGGATTGACGACCGGGGTCTATTTTTCAGCCTTGTGACTGTAGGTCCGGGCAAGTCCAGTCCGGTCCAAACTGTGCAGGCATGTCTTGAGGGAGAATCATCTCCAACGTCGAGACTCATCAGCCGGTGGATGAGTACCGAGGAGCGACTATTCGATTTGTTCGAGTAAAATACAGTTTGCGTTGAACCGGTCGCCCACCTCTGAGATCGCTTCGTTTGAGTTCAGTTGCTCGCGATTGGCTTTCCTGATCGGCGGGAGTTACTTCTTGTTACTTCTTGTCCATTGGTGCAGGCAGCCTACTGTAGGCTCATGAGTCGTCCGAGGTGTAGGCACGAGACCTTCTTCGACTCGTGCAAACCTCCGCTCTGAGAATGAACGACCTGAATTCGGACTCAGCATTTCGGGCCCTACCGTACGTAGGTCACGACTTTGTTGTACAGCGTGGGCCGTACCAACTTCTGTGGAGGAAGAGGAGGGATTCATCGGAAGAGAAATCGTCGTTCATTGCACACCAGCACACAGCCAAGAATCTGTACTTTGAGAGGCGATTGTTGAGAGATTCGGCATATATAGATTTACGGATGTCATCCGATGTCATCTATTTTGAACTGAGTTTCCACAACTCGAATGTATGCTGAATATGCATTCGATTATAGTGCGACATTCCGCCCGAGGCTCGTATTTCCGTTTAGATGGATCGGAATGGGTCGTGGCAGTATCTGCACTCATCCCCGGCACTTTCAGTTGCTTCGGTTTTGGTATTTTCTGCACACCAAAACTGAACCTGGCCTCGCGTCGACGCGATCAGAAGGCGATGGTCTGGAAGACGAGAGAGTCACCCGTGTTTGACATTCAGTGCACTTCTCATCTCCACCTCGGACGGAGAATTATGATGCTCCGATTCTTCGGTACGAGCCTTCAAACAAAGGCATCCCCTTCCGTTGACTCACTCCCTCCGCCTCGAATGTGGAAATAGTGCAAAGCTTTCGCTTGGGAACGGATGCCCAAATTGCGACTGGGTTCCATTGTTCTAAATGTCTGGCCACTCTGTCCGAAAGCAGTCATACCACAATACGATTCACATCCAGATCGACGTAAGATCCTGACAAAGTCTTTGATCGGCATCGGCCACGACTACCACCTGACCAGATCGAATGACTCCAACCTGGACATGCATATTCTACTTACATTAATTATTAATCCTAAACATCGTCATGTTCACGGACTGTGGTTGATGACATCTGTGTACTTACGTAAAAGCCATGCGGCTGTGGGCACTCTCAAGGGGTGTCGATTCGGGGACAGTCGCAGATAGAATCCCCGACTGTCCACGACAGTCACCGGCCAACCGTCTCTGGATGTTTCAAGACCGAGCCAGTCCTTCGGATCACTCCAGCGTAGTTGCCAGGCCAGGCGACGGTGATTCCACGTCAGTACGCCAAGCTCAAGCGATCCAATGCTTTATTATACTCATGAGAACAGATGAGCCAGCTCCACACCATCGCCAGCAGAGAGCATCGTTAAGCATGTGGTTGCGGGGCCTAGGGAAGCAAGGCACTGCAAGTCTCCGAGTCATACGTGAGCTTCTGGAGACATTAATATATTCGACTTCAGATGCATTCGTGGGGAGCCAGCATTTCGGGCCCTCCTAGTCACAGACGAGCATAAGAAGGTAGTGCTCGGGTCCTCTGATCTGTCAGTCATCTCATATGGACCAGGGAAAAACTGGGCAGCGTGGTACGAATGCCCAACTCTGGTGGGGTCTGGAGCTTGTTGTTCCAAATCGATCAACTTCGCTGCAGGAGGGCTGAAGCTAAGAAGAGTTGGGGAACTCGATACCTTATGGAGGTACTCGTCAATCTTTGATCGGTACCGACGAAGGAGTTGTTGGTTTGCGTGCTCTTCAATTTAAAGCCAGTCCTCAAAGCTCAAGTGAAGGCTGCATGCAGAAAGTTGCGGACCAGTCCGAGAATTGGCAGAATTGTGCTTTTACTGTAGATTGAGATTGCCTTTTGGACGCTCACGCTGGGCATGTAGAACACATGTCGGTTCTTGAAACTACGTGCTCCTTGCCACCAAGGATGAGTCTAACACAACAAGTTTCACCAAGACTGTAGGTAGCCACATAATCACCAAGTGCGCCATTGGAGAGTTAATCTTCAAACAAACATGTGGATTTCCTCCTTCGAAGAACCGTGCTGACAAAGTCTGCCCTTGAAGATGGATGGCAGGGTACTCTTGTCTTCCAATTTGGTTTTGAGGGTAAACGAGGTCACTCGGTGACTGGATCGTTGAGCCAAAACCGACTTGTCAACACTGGGTTTGATGTCGCCGTCACCATTCAGCTTCTCTTCTCACTTGGATGAGAGTTTACTTCACGTTTACTTCTGATTTATATATCTCATTACAGATACACCAGAGTTTTCTACAAGCGCATGCTTCTGCTCCAGCCAAGCAGTCATTTGATTTGAGTCTTAGGTTTTATAACAACAGCACTAACAAATAGATACTACGAATTTATAGAACATGGAAAGCTTCTTGGAAGAAATTTCGAACTTATTTGGGAAGTATTCTAATACTTAGTTGCCTCACTTCAACACTATTGATATACTTGTTTACTCATTTCTAACATTTTAAGACACTATAAGGTGTAGTTAGTTGCAAAAAGTGTAACTCGATTTTTCTTCGCTTTTTATTCTTTAATTTTTCTAAAATCTTTCAGAATACAAGAAAATTATTTTTAAATGAAAAAGATTCTACCCAGACTATATATATATATATATATAAATTCTACATTCGTTGTGAATTGAAGTATTTCAACAGTATTCATGAAGAAACATTCTGTTTGCTTGCGAGATTATGGACTTAATATCTCAGATTTGCCAATGTTTTGGAGCCCTTGTTCAGATGGAAAGGTAGTGCAGCTTTGCAGGAAGAAGAAAATTCTATTTGTGGGAAACAAGCCGTTCTCTTGCAAAACACTTATAATGGTACACGCATTCATAACTTTTTCTGTGATCATTCAAACTCAAACAGACAAAAATCCCACAAAATAGCCGTTTACTACATGCGGATCATCGACGAGCCCACGCATGATTTGATGAACGAATGTTGTTGCAATGGCCATATTACATAGACTTGGAATGTGTTGGCGGTTCAACTCATCTGCGAATCTGACTCTGAGCCGCTACGTATACGGCAGATGGGACCGGTCTGTTGTAACAATTCTCTACAACATGACCGATCGGATTCTTAACAATTCGCAGCTCCAGCTGAACAAGCACTCAATGTTTGCATTGAGGTACTTTCCGGGTCGAGTCGAAGAAAGTTGATCCTGTTTGTAAACCTGAAACAAGATACAGGAAACCCCATGGATGCCTGCTAGTTCCAGCTCGGGCTGACCTTGAGCCTACTCTCCGAACTGTGAATGTCTTCACACGCCGCCTGCTGAAGTCTCGATCATGGATCTGGTGTTAATTGATATGAGCTACGTTCCGGTCAAATTCTTCGATCGATCGTTTAGATCTGAGAAGAGGCTAACGACATCACTCTGCTGCCATTGGAATAGATCCCGAGCTCGAAATTTTACTAGACCGCTCTCCAATGACGTTATCTTCTGTGCTGCATATTCTGAGAACCCTTTCAATAGGGGTATGAAATAGTAGCAGTACACGAGAGAACGGGACATGATCAGAAGGTCTTGGAAGAAGACCAGAATCATCTTTAGTGACACAGCCGATAGAGAGTTCGCCTTATACATGTGTATGTGCTTTGTCCCTGTCGAAGTCGAGAGCGTAGGATTCGTCCTCTATTATGTCCACTGGGGAATTGCTGTTAGCCTTCAGGGCTGAAGAAAAATGTTGTTTGGCCAGGTTGAGGATTGACTCATCTCGTAATACCGTTCGTACTGGATGGGAGCCTAAAGGTCGAGTTTTCGTTAACAGATCAAGCGATCGTTACATCGACTATCAGCTGTCAGGAGAACAAGAGGGGAATTTCGACCTCAGACAAGAGATGCAAGTGCGTGACAGCGAGGTCTAGACTGAGGTAATGAGGATGTTATCAGAACTTTTGAACGAGCGAGATCTAGATTTGACCTGCCGGGATGCGAGATCAGCCGATGCTGCCGGAGATTTTGGAACACTGGGATTATGTGCATGCGCGGGTCTCAAAGCGCCACCCAGCTCCATGGGTACCAGAGGAACGAGAGACTGCACAACATCGGCAATAAGTGGCCGGTAACTGGGCTCTTCGCATACGCACAGTGCTGCCACCGCCGCCACCTGCCAGTTTCCAAGTTCAGACAAATCTTACAGGAAATCAGCCGACGTGTGAAGACGTAAGTGGTCAATCTGAAGAAAGTTCATGCAATTTATTGGAAGCACTTCTCTGAATCTGGGGTTGTGTCTTGTTTCTTATCTCACAATGATATTACTGCGTCTTGCATTCATCGTCATCCTTCACTGCCATTCATTCCCGCAAATGGCGAGCATCATCCTCTGGTTTAAAATGGAGAGTCCCCTCGCACAGCAAAATCAACGAGGGATACTGGAACAGAACCGCCTCACATACCTGGTACAGATGTTTGAGGTTCAAGTGGGCCTTCAGAGTTGGAGCAACGAGTTGTGGGAGTTTTCTTCTATCTGACAGTTGTGGCTTCGCCTGTGCAGTAGACATTCGATGGCAGGTTCAGATACGTACGTTGTGAATTTTGAGGATAAGATATCAAGAGTATTAAAACCGGAGTAGCATGCAATCTCATGCCATGGTCTGTTTTTCTCCGATTAATGGACTGAAGAATGTCCTTGGACCAAGAGAAATCTCAGAAACATGACGGGAGACATGAATAAAGCTTTGAATGTTTGAAGGAGCTGCAAGCTCACCCAGTTCACAAGGGACTGCTCCTCTATGGGCAACGAATGATCAACAGGCTTTCTTCCGGTCAGAAGTTCCAGCAGCACCACACCGAACGCGTACACATCACTCTTTTCTGTCAGTGTACCTACACACGAAACTTCCACACCACTTAAACCTCCGGATGGCGACACAGCAAACCCGACTACATTTCATTAAAAGACATGTACTGAGCATTAGAAGGGGAACTGAGCAGAGCTAGCTAGAACAATGTGATCTGAAGACTCACCAGTTTCGAAGAACTCTGGAGCAACGTAGCCGATGGTGCCGATGAGTTGTAAGCTCTCCTCACGTGTCAGACCTTCAAGTGGTGTTGCTAGCCCAAAATCGGAGATCTGCCAATCAAGTAGATAAAATGATAAGAACCAACAAAACCTGAAGAATTTTCGTTAAGCGCAAACATTTCGATGACTCTTGAACATGTACTTGGCTACGTGAAACGCGTGACGCGCGGACGCCCTCTAGCCCATCTTCTTCATGATATTGTTGCTTTTTTTCCTGTAAACTAAAGATATCCCGGTCTTCGTTACAGGGCTTCTTTGCTTCTGATCATGCCTATGGTTTGAAAAGTGAATTGCGAACGTTGCCGTTTGCAAGGTTCACTCTAATGAAGATTTTTTCATCTACTGCTTATCTAAACGTCCGAGTCAATTGTAAGGTTGGCCTAGCTGACATTACCTTGGCGTTGAATTTTCCGTCGAGTAGAATGTTGGATACTTTCAGGTCCCTGTGTACAACTGGAGGGACACAATGTTCGTGCAGATACTCCAGTCCCCTGATTACAAGCGCGTGAGTCTCGGGAGCAAAGAACAAACACGCCATTAAGAAACTCCGTCGTTCCTAACTTACAAGACGTAGTACATGTAGACCTCAAACTCCAAGGCCTTGGACAAGTTGACCTCTTACCGTGCCGATTCCAGAGCAATTTTGACCCGCAGGTTCCATGTCAGTGCTGATCCCTTGCTCGGACCTACAACCGTTCAACCTTCATGAGAATGTTTACACGATAATGTCATGTATCGAGCACGAACGACTGACAGACAAACTGCATCGAGTAATTCTTCAAGGGTCGGATCTTCTTCTGGCCGGGCAAGTTAATCAAGTTTTATCAAAGAACGGCTCCACAAGCCTTGCTGCGAAATAATTCCTGTCATGTGCTTCGCTGACTAGGTTGAGGGGGTTAAGGAGCGGATGACACATGGGATGCAAAGACACAATGTCGAAGCCAGCCAAAGAAATCAATCAACTCCAGCCGTGCAACCAGACCTTGCACGAGAATTGAGTCAGGTCATAGCTCCAATGGCAGTTAGTAGATTGCTTGCTAATGAAGAACGTGCATGGGAGTGGACGCGTGAACTCAGTCAGAGGTGTGAAATCCTATGATGGGGTTGTGAGGATCCATTAGGCCAGAATCGGAGGCACGCAGGCAGGATTGCATACCGTAGAGCTGGTCCTCAAGAGATCCGTTCTGCATCAGTTCATACACAAGAAGCCTCTGATCTCCATGCCTACAGTATCCGAGCAAAGACACCAGATTCGGGTGCCTCACTTGTCGCATGAGTTCCACTTCCGACTGCACGCACAATGCAGCCAAAGCGCACGCATCAGCTCATGCGGGCGAATCCCAAGGCCAAGCAAGGCCTGTCAGAACACACTCTCGGGAATATAATGTCGCCCGAGACCTGAAATTGCGAACCGGCGCGCAGACGATCGCACGCACTCTCCAGTCGCTTGACGGCAGCGAACGCGTCGTCGTCCAGTTTCGCTCTGAAGACGCGACTGGTGCCGCCCTCGCCCAGCACGTTGGCCGGGCTGAAGTTGTTGGTGGCCGCGGCCAGTGTCGCGTACTGCATCTCGCAAGCCGACGACGGCCACCCCGCCTGCCGCTTGGGCCGCGTCGACGCCGTGAACCACGAACACAGTAGTTGCTGCACCTTGCTCTTCTCATCTGCAACCACATCCACATCCACAGCCCTCTACGTCGTCACCTCGGCCTCTTTGGTCCTGTAGTGAAACCACCCAAGAAACGAACGCGCACGGACGGAACTTACTTGCGCTGGGATCTGCTTCGGACTCCGGCCGACGGGCTGGAGGACCGGTTGTTCCGGTGAGCCCTTCGTGTCGAGGTCGATGGCAGAACTTGAACCAGAGCCAGGCGACCAGCAGCGCGGCCAGGAAAATGGGGATGCCGATCGCCAGTCCGATGACGACCTCCAGCCTCAGTCGGGCATCGCTTCGGCCCGAGCCGTCTCCCGACCCGACTGCTGACTGGGAATCGGTGGAAGCAGCCGCCAGAACTGAAGGCACTTACAAAAGACACGTCAGCACTCGCTCACTCGTGCAACGAAGATTGTGTGCAATTTTCGATCACATTCTGCAGCGCTACGATTCCGAAATGGAGGAAATCGGTCCTCTGTACTCACGACTGACCTTGGAATGCGCGGTTCTCGTCGGAACCGGTGTCGACTATTATCGGCGGCTTGTGAAATGCTCGCATATGGTGTTTGCCTGATACCGGAAGCGAGGGCAGCCTGCGCAGAAACTGAAGACCTGCTCGGGAATATTTGCTACGCAGAGGGATGAATCCCATGGGGCCGGGGCCGGGGCTGGGGTTGGGTGCGGGTGCGCGTGCTAGACCTTCCCCGATCTGGAACCACCCTTTCGACTTGTCGGAGAATGGTCTGGCTCTGGCCTGATCCCGATCGTGATCTTGAAGTTGAGCTCGAGCTCGAGCCCGGTGCTCAGCATTGCGTGCACTGATGTGAGACACTGCAAACTCCGAGAGACAGCAGAGCATAACAAGCATATGCATCAACACTGGCACTCTCGAAACCATCCTCGACAACTTGTTCGAAATCGCTCCGGAACGAGCGGACTTCTCTGCAAGTCTCTCTTCCCCTTCTTCCCTGCCTTGCGCAGCACTAGACCTCGATCACAGTATTCGGAGAGACAGCGCCAACCTTCGCAGCGATGAACCGCGTAAGCTCTCGCTCGTACGCAGCTTCAGAATTGGTTGTTGCGATTCCGATTGGGTGGCCGATCACGAAAGCCTGCTACATCGACCGAACGTCGAAGTTTGTAGCCGTCATCGCGATCCAGCTTTCACCTCGCTGGCGCTGTCGACGTCGTTTCGTCAGCTCATCTACATCCTGCGCCGAGCACGAGCAGGATCATCTTTGCAGGTCCTTTTCCTGCAATCATGCATGACCTGAAGGACAGTAAATGTCAAGCAGTTCGATTTGCGTGCATGCCCGAGAATGTACTCGAAGATTCAACAGGACGTGTGCTAGCCCAGCTACTACTCTCACAGTGATTGAGCGCCTGCAGCTCGCTAGCCAATTGTTGATCATGGTCAGTCGCACGCACCTGTTGATAGTTATGGTGATTCCATGGTCACAACATAAAGCAGCCTGCGGCAGGAAAAGAGTGATGGCGACAGCAGTGGCACATTCGGCACCCCCCGTGAACACACTTGGCGTGCACATGGACGGATGATGTGCAGACGGCAACGTGATTCGATTCAGCAGACCATGTCTTCTGTGACAGGGTAAAGATTGCAATCGGTCAGTCCCATGGCCACGGCCAGGGCAACAATGAATTACACCTACCGGTAAGTACCATGGTACTTACGAGCTCCGGGTCCGTGGAGTTCACGGGGTTACAAGCTTGCTGCGACCCTCCACATTCACTTCCTCAATATTGAACAACATTGTAATGATCTCCAAGTCTCCTAATGGACACTTGATCTTGTCCCAGCGAAGTGTGCAAAGCTCCGCTGGTTTCTAGAATTTCATGATCAACAGCAGGTCAGTTACAAATTGAGGGCTCAGGCTCAGCTTACTAGTACTTACTGATTTGTCGACCGGAAGCCGAAGCATATGTACTCTCGACCTTACTGACAAGTCCGAATTTGCGAAAAACTGGAGGCTGCACTCGCTGGACTCAGCAGCACACTGGAGTCACTGTGACTGTCATGGTTCGTAACGCCAACCTTCCAAAGTGGTCCGTCACTCGAGTCAAAGGATTATGTACCACAATGGCAGGTCTGTACATACAGACCTACCATAGCTCCATACATCAAGCTCATGCACCAAGTCACAGTCTTGCCGCTCTTCCCAAAGCTATACGAACCAATTCGAAGTTCGCAAAGCTTGTAAGATATTCAAAATTGCATGTCGTTCTCCTTAGTCGAAAATTGTTCCTGCTGCTGCTCCTGGAAATCTTGCGCTTGTGGTTACAGGTTCAAAGTGAGCTACTGAAGGAAGGATCCGGAGAAAGTCGAGCTCAAGAACATATCCCTGAAAGAGCACAAGCGATTGGATATTCTGAGTGCCATACTGTATTCCTGTATACGTTCCGGCACCAGTTGCACTGACACAATTGTGGGCTCCGACCTTCTCTCTCTCTCTCTCTCTCTCTCTCTTGCGGAACAAAGGAAGGCGACTCCACTCCACTCCTTCGTTAAGGTATACTCGTTGAAAAATGGTGTTCGAAAGTCGACGACATGCCAACGATGACTTGTAGACCGGTGGAGCAAAGCGGTCGATCGAGTAAGGAGGGCATCAAGGAGAACTAGCGTCAGGAGAAGGGGACCTGATGTTCGCCCTATTAGATCTACGATCTTCGCTCGCTACAAATTCGGCCTTTTGACAGCAAAAAGCCAAAACCGATGCACGCAAGAGGACGCATAGCTGCGCAGACTCCGTCTAGCGAACATCGTACGACAGTGATGACATGGCGTCCTTGAAGCATGGACGGATCTGGACGACACAAAAGAAGAGATGGCGCTTTTTGTTTATGGGTTCGGTTCAGAGCGAAGCTGCTTCTGCTTCGCACTCTCTCCCTCCTACACACCTAAACAATTCAATCACATCAGTGCTTGTACTCTCTTCTACGTCCCACCAAATCTCGGCCCAATGCAATCGGCAGCACTTGTAATTTTTCACGTGCACAGTCACATGTGCTAGTATTGCGGGACAGGCGAGGAACCCTGGCTGTACACGTGCCCATTGCCCTTGGAGCAATCGAGTGCAAGGCAATGCGAGATTCCATCTTCCGAACTAAGCCTTCCTTCTCATGGAGGAGGAGACCGGCCATGGCCCAGCGTCCGGTCATTGGGCTGGGAAAATCGACAGGTATGAGAGTATTTTGAGACATGACGGCGGAATTCCGCGGAATGCGAAACATTCAAGGCAAAGCATTCTGCCGATGGCGTTGCCTCACGAGTTGGTTAGCGGAGGCAAGATCATGGACGGATCTCGAGATAACAGTAAGCTTAGAACAGATACGAACTGAGCTCTGTGCAAGAGGAGAATCTGATTGCTAGCTAGCTAGAAAAGTTAGTGACGGATCGTGGGCCAGGAGATTATACCTCGACATGATACTTTTCCGTGTCCCAAAAAATACTTGGATTAAGCAGCAGCAGCAGCGACTTGACCTTGTCCTGTAGTTTTGTTCAATCTCAGGGGCCCACTGCCGCCATGGACGACTGAAAGGCTGGAACCAAGACATGAGAAAACGAGCTGGAACAGTCTGTTCTAAGGCCAACCCCACACACCTCCCTCCCTCCATCCATCCGTTGCCTTTCAGGACCGTCTCAATGCTCGTCGATCAACGATCCAAGTACAGTTCCTTCAGTGGATCGAGCGGCCTGTGAATCTGTAGAATCCGCCGTCCGTCTAGCTCCTCACATTTTTTATGCTTCAGAAATCACGAACTCGGACCATCTGTCGCAAGGGAGCTGTACTCACCTTCTGGATTCACGTTCGTTCGTTCATGCCACCACCATTTACGATAAGACGGCACTTTACAGTGAATTAGTCTTTCGAAATCCACACCTTCAACCTTTGCTTCTGGTCAGTGTCTGCCACCAGTCGTTAGCATGTTTTAATGATCATTACATCACTGGCTTTTTATTAAGCGAACCTTGCACCTCATCACTCTTCCTTCTGCGAACAATCCACCGTAACTTGTAGAACTCGTCTTGTGAGAAACGCACAGTCAAGCATCGGCATGATTACTTCAGGCCCAGCAACAACGCCCCGGATCGAAGCAGCCAGGCTCGTGATGCGTCTTCGGACCTTGCTGTAATTTCGTAATGTCAATCTAATCGCGCCAAAAGCAAATGCGGGTCCGAAGGCTTTTGTTGGCGATCGCGCGAGAGTGCGCCTGCTTGTAGAAAGACTAGCTTACAACGCCACGGCTCAGAGTCAACATCACTTCTGCCCACTGTACTGCATTTGACAGTTCCACGTGACAGCCAGCGCACCACTGCAGTGCTCGGAGGGCCGATCGAAAGTTGCATTGCATTGCATCGCATGTTCTATCCAGCATGCGACCGTCCACCTGGAAATGGTGGCGGATGCGCATATTTCAAAGCGTGAGATGCCGGACATCGGAGCAGGGCCAAAGCTGGGGATCAGCTAGTGTGGGCGTTCGAGGGATATGGCAGCGGACTCAGATTTGCAGCGTCTGATGATGACTCCAACCAACCAAACAGACCGAGTCCACAGTGAGATCGACTTTTTAACTGTATCCAGGCCCTGTCTGAATTGGGTGGCCTTCACTTCACGCCCTCCTTGTGATCGACAGACAGACGTCTGTTTCGCTACGTTGTGTCGCGGTTGCTTGGCTCAGTGCCTCGGCCACGAACGTGCGTGCGATCGAGCGAATAGAATAGTCCGACGATAATCGGCTTCGGTCCTAATAGTGCTCAAAATGTGCTGAAGATTTTCTTCCCCCATACAGACTAAAGCATGATCGAAATTCGCTGACCGACTGCCTAGCCAGCCGGTGCCACATGATATTCTGCTCGCCTTTCTTGTGGGGTCGATAGCCAAGCAGGCAGGGCAGGCAGGCTGCACTCGACGACCGAGCCCTCCACTCAGCAGCATTGGAATCTCCATCGCCACCATCGGCATCATGTCAACCCACCCCCGAAAGCCAGTACTCGGCCTGGTACCAGTCCAGCGCAGTCCGATCATGATGGTTGTCGACTCCATCTCAGATACTCAGACAGAGGCAGTCAGGCCAAATTGAACACGAACATTGTCATGTCATGTCAACGAGGTTATCGCCATGGACTAAACATCGCCTCGGGACAGTGTGAAACGGACAGTAAGGCTTACCGTCCGTTTCACCCTGTCCCTCTGGATCCCGTACGTACGTAAGTTGCCCTGTGGCCCCATCCACATTGATGAATTAGAGACGACGAGACTTGACTGTCTAATTTACTGATTTACAACAATCTCCATTGAGAGGTCGATCGATGGATCGGTGAAACCGAAAACCCGCTTTAGATTGCTGGTGATGGACGATCTTTCAAACCAGAGCTACAAAATCTCCGAACCTCACTCTACCGCTTATCTAATCGACTCTATACTCCCACGAACATCTCCAGCAGTCCACCACACCTCCCTTCCCCTTCCCCTTCACGTCATCTAATTTGCTTCTTGACTGAACTCCAAGAGCATGCTTTGGATTTTGTCTTCCATCTTTGAATCGAACAAAAGTATTGGTTGTTGTATTCGGACTCACTCGTGCTCAGATTCATTGGCTGCTACAGACTGGTCTCGTCCAGATCTTGTTGATGTGCATAATCTTACGAAGCTTTCCAGTCCTTCTTTCTCTTGGCATGAATTGTAGGACCATATCAGATGGTTGCTACGAGCGCACAACGCCTCCTTTCACAAGCATGACGGATGTGTCAAATCCTATTATTTTGTTATCATCCGATCAAAAAGGTGAAGGGAAATAAGCAATGATATTCACTCTGATCATGAAATTTCCTTCTCTCCACTAGATGCAACACTTCATGAAACACATTGGGTTTTCTCTATCAATTAAGCTTGCAAAGACATGAGGTCATGTATGGAAGTGCAGTGTGTCAGACGCAAACCTTGAAATTATATATGTATCAACAACTCTTTGTGATTACAAACATAGTAGAACCTTATGCCTCTACAGAGGTTAAGTCAGATCTTTTAAAATCACAGTATCTTTGTTAAATAGTATTTGAAGATTATATGCATATTCATATTTATTACCGATATGAATTGTTTTAGGAAATAGCATATATTTCATACTTAGTTTTCAAAAAAATATTAAATCTATATTTTTATTCGCTGTTTATTAATTTCCGTGGAAATAATAATAGAAATTTGTAATCATTTGATTCTTGATAGATATGAAAAAAATTCATCTCTTCTATTATAATGTAAAGAATAAGATCATTTGTAATCAGTAGTATTATTTGTTAGATTTAATGAAGATAAAAAAATATTTATTTTTTCTTTAAGAAATGAATTTAAGTTTTTTAATGTCACTTGAAATTTAAAATTTTGTTTCTTTATTTTCTTAGTGCATGTGATTGAAAAATAGTGGAAGAAAGAACATAATATCAAATAGATTGATGAAATCAAATCAAATGAAACAGTTCATAGGGTACTTCTGTACCCGAAGGTCTCTACGAGCGGGATAGTTATTTTTTATCTGAGAGAAGTCCCAAAGGCCGAAGGGCCTTAAGAAGTACTCTATGTTTTTTGAAAATTTTGTATGTCATCTTCTTAATCATCTTAATGAATTCAAATTACCCTTTATCTCATATTGATACAATGAACGCTCTGTCAAGAAGAATGAGGGTTTCCCCGGCTACTACAGTGGCAGGGTTCAAAAGCCTTCGTTTCTGAAGGCCATGTGGTTAACATGTCGTTTAGACTTCTGTCCCTATAAATACAGTATAGGTAATCGTCGAGAAATTTGCTTGATGGACCCCATCAGAACGTTAACTACTTGATGGGACCCAATAAGTTCCAATTTACCCGATGGGACCCTTCCGACGGCAATTCAATCTACCGTCACCGATGTTTTACTGCGAGTTCTTGTAATTGCTTTCAAACCGGGCTAGGAAAAACACTGAGGCTCTTTGTTGAAAAGTGAAATGCTCTTCATGAACCAAAATACTCAACTAACATGATTTCGACCAAGAGATTTAGAAAAATAAGTAAGGAGTAAGTAGATTATGCCGATACATTATAACTGTAAAATCATTATGTGACTCAAGAAATTGGGCTCTTCCACGATGTAGATTGGGAGCCATGGAAAATCTGATTAACTTAAATTCGGGAAGAAATAAAATTTTTTCATTGAATTGGAAACAAATCAGTCACAAGAACATAACTGACGATGACCAGTCGCAGGGGGTTCCATTGGGTAAAGTGGAACGTATTTGGTCCCATCAAGCAAATTTCTCGGTAATCGGCTCTATCTTGAATTCTATCCTTCCATACGAGAGAGTAGGTAGAGAACAAACCATTTATAACCTGGTTGATTGGAGTAAAAACTTTGAAATCAATATTTTTTTAAAATATATTTCAGAAAAAAAATATATATATATTCACTTGTGCCATGAAATGTTTTAAATCGAAAAAATTTGTGTTTGATTAGAAAATTCAAAAAATTATGGTTCATGTAATCTGCTGAATGAAATTCAAACTTTAAAGCATATTCAGTTTTTAACCACTATTTACACATGAGATTATGATATGAATAATCAATACATCAAAGTACATACCATTAGACCAAATACCAATATTATTAGAGTGGGTATACTTGTATAAACTATTTTACTATATAACCACAAATCAGATCATCAGACTACACTTATCATAAAAAATAATTGTATATGA